GCCAATGCATTTAAAGGCAAGAGTAGCATTAGCACACAGGACATGAGGTTGGACCTGTCACTGAGGATAGGAGTTCAGTGGTTCAGGAGTTCACCCTTACCTGCTGTGTGTAAGGTCCTACTAAACCCCAGCAATGAAAGCTAAAAGAAAAAGCCAAGTGACGTGGTGGTTTATGCCTGGCATATTAGCATGGGGCCGGTCGAGGCACAAAAATCTCAAGTTCAGGTACAGCTTGGGCTATTTGTAAGTCAGATTACAGAGTGAGTTTGGGGACAGCCTGAACAAAAGATTGAGTACCTTACCTCAAAACGGAGCAACCAAGCATACAAATAGTGTCAGAAGGAGCCACATTAATTGAAAACCTACATGATACTTGTAGATTTTATTTGTCTTATTTATAAGGGTTACAAAGGCCTCCACCATTTGAACTCCTTTCCCAGTAGAAATGGAAGGGAATGATTCCCATTAATTCTTAGACCTAAAGTCATGCTGATAAAGAGCCCAGTCTAGATGCTTTGAGGTCAAATGTGTCTTTCCCTTTTTATTCTCGTGTGTGTGTGTGTGTGTGTGTGTGTGTATGTGTGTGTGTGTGAGACGCGCCGCCTTGCTGATAAGGAGAACGCCACACTCAGGATTCTTCTGACAGCAGTTTACTTGTTACAGCTCTTTTAGATGGTGTTACAGCTCTCTTGGATGGTAGTGGCGAAGGACCCCGAGCCCCAGAACCCACGGCTTATATAGAGTCCTGGGAGAACGTGCCGCATGCTCACTGGCTCCTTAAGTGATGCCTAATTAACATACTAGTTTTCATTGGCTCTTTGAGTGACGCTTAATTAGCATATTAATTTACCGCGCCTTGCGCATGCCCACACTCGGCTTGGCTCTGACTAAAACCAGAGAGCGGGAAGCTTGCGCGCCCTGCGCAGGTGCACTTTCATTCACGGCTCTGTCAAAGAGCCGAGAAGCGGGGAGCCGACAGCGCCTTGCGCAGGCGCACTTTCATTCATGGCTCTGTTAAAGAGCCGCGCCATTGTCAACTGGTGAGTGTGGCTCCCAACATGTGTGTGTGTGTGTGTGTGTGTGTGTGTGTGTGTGTGTAGAGGCCAGAGGTCAGTATTAGGTGTCCTCCTGAATTGCTTGCCTCCTTGTTTTCCAAGACAAGACCTCTCATTGAACCCACATTGCACTGATTCAACGCCCAGAAAACCTCGCTGGGCCCAGCCTTCCCATTGGTTAGCACTAAGATAGCAGGAGCTTGTTTCCATGTTATCTATCACTCCACGGGTGAGTTTTAGAGACAACTCAGGTCTGACAACTCATGCTGCAGCAAGCACAGTGTCGGCCGAGCCATCTCTGCAGCCTTTAAAAAGGAAAATTTGACTTCCTAATACAGTCGACAGACGGCACCTCCCGTGTCCACCTCCCCATCCCAACACTTGCAGGGCTTCCCCCATCACTGGCGTTTCCAGGAAGGGTGGCACAGCTGCTGAACCTACGTCACTGCATCAGTTTCTGTCCTCTCCACAGCTTGCTGTTCCACGTGGGCTAGGACAGATGTGTATGACATCGACCGCTGTAACATGGCCGTTCTAAGTATTTCTGCTGTGTCGGTCCCTTATTTATCCACCTCTTCACGCCTTCCTGCTCTCTAGCCTGAGAACCACCGACATTTTACATTTTCATCCTTCTTTGGGCCGTAGGTTGGAATCACCAGGATGTAGCATTTCCAGGCTGCCGTCTTCAGCTTGTAGTATGCATTTATTCTCTCTGCACGTCTTTTCAAGGCTTAGCATCCAGTCTCTTTTTAGTACTGAATAGTATTCCGTTGTCTTAATACACTAAAGTTTATTTACTGTCTACTTGGTGGCAGTTTAGTTGCGTCTAAGCTTTGGCGACTATTATCACTTCTATATACAGGATTTTTTATTTTCTTTGTCTCTACATATATTTTAAACTCATGTCACATACCAAAGTGTATGACTGATGGATTTTACTGGGAATGTGGTTCTGGTTAATTTTTTTTTAATTTCAAAATATTAACAAGCAACCTGGGAAGATTGCTCAGAGGTTAGGACTATTCTGACCTTACAGAGGAGACATACTTGATTCCCAGCTCTAATGTCACATGGCCCACAACTGCCTGTGACTCCATCTCCAGGGATATCTGACAATTCCAGAGACACCTGTGTTTTTTCAAACACACACACACACACACACACACACACACACACACACACAGTCATACAAGCATGTATAGAATTTTTTAAAAAAAATCTTAAAATATATTAACAAGCAAGAAACAATAATTTTTAAGTACAGAGAAGATCCTTTAATACCCATTTGTGCCTTCAGATTAGGAACCCACTCATAGCCTCTGCAAACTTCCATACTATTCTGTATCTCAGGGATTTTGAATTTTTTATGTCCCACATACAATTAACATCACAAGTATTAAATGTGTGTGTGCATGTATGTGTGTCTGCATGTGTGTGTGTGTGTGTGTATGGTCACAGTTGTCAGGGTACTCTGTATACCACAATCTACACACACACACACACACACACACACACACACACAGTATGAGCCAGTTTCTTAATCCATTCATTTATAGGTAAACACAAAGATAGTTGTCATATCTTGGCTCTTGCAGTTCTAAACCGCAAATGTTTCAGTGACTGTGCTGGCTAGTTTCATGTCAACGTGATGTAAGCTAAAGTCATCTGAAAGAATGGGACCTGAACTGAGAAAAATGCCTTCATGCGATCTGGTTATAAGGTAGTTTTAAAGTTAGTGATTGAGACCGTTGTGGGTGGTGCCATCCCTGGGCTGGTAGACTTAGGTCCCTTAAGAAAGGAGGCTGAGCAAGCCATGAAGAGCAAGCTAGCAAGCATTCATCTTGTATTCTCCTTTATTTTGTCCAAGTAAACAGAGCAGTAGAATGAAACAGTAAGAGAGTAGAACCTGGAAGAGAGGATTCCTGGGTGCTGTAAGACAGTTAAGCTATCTCATATCAGTTCTGGGTTACCCTGTACTCTATAGTGCATAGCTTCCAGGACTCTATGCTTTACCACTGCTCTCTGTCTTTCTGAAATGAGTTACTTTTTAAAGTATGACTCTCTGCTTTACCTTAACCTTATTAACCTCATTAAATAATGTGTGTGAGAGTATACTTGTGTATACATGTATGTATTATGTACGTGTGTGTGTGTGTGCGCTTCAGTGTACATGTTTCAATGTATGTAGGGGCACTTGTGTGTGTATGTAGGGGGCATGTGTGTATATATATATGTATGTGTATGTGGGGGGACTTATGTGTGTGTGTGCACCCACACTGCATGCTGTAGGTGTGTATGCATGTGCATGTGTATGTGTGTGTGTGTGTGTTTGAGAGAGAGAGAAAGAGGGAGGGAGGGAGAGAGAGAGAGAGAGAGAGAGAGAGAGAGAGAGAGAGAGAGAGAGAAAGAATGGGTGAATGGTGGAGGTCACAGGACAACCTTATGGACTCTATTCAGTCCTTTCAGTTTTATGTGCTGAACCTAGATCTCTAGGCTTGTGTAGTAAATGCCTATCACTGAGCTATCCCCTGAGTGATCTCACCAGCCCACTGCTTCTTAAAAGTTGCATCCTGGCTACTTCTTACATAAAACATTTATCACAACATGATATAGCGCCACGAATGCGTGAGATTTTTACGTGTATGTTTGCATATGCGTATCAATGATGGCACGCACACGTTATTTTAGAACATCGCAACCTTTACATATTTAAATATTCCTATTAAAATGCATGTCCATGTATGTATTATTTTATAATATTATAATGGTATCACTGTGTATCAGCTCTAATACTCTGACTCTTGTAGGCCAGAGATCACGGTACAGTTTTCTGTTAAAGGTTTTGCAGAGAGCTTTTATACCAACTTTTCAAAGATCACACTGGGGTATGCCTTGGAGAGGTTTCCCCTCCTGATGTATCACTGTTGGAGGATGCTTAGAGCAGTGTGCCCTCCGACTCTTCTTGAAGATATGCCTTGTCTTGGTTTCTATTCCCAAAGACTTACCAGGTCTTTATAAAACCTTAAAAGGACCATGCTACTTTTGAGTAGCTTGAAATTGGTCCAAGTTGATAGATTAATAAGAAGATGGAGTTTTCCTTTAAAAAATATTTTATTTTAATGGGTGTGTACACATGCATATATGCAGTGCAGGTGCCCCTAAAGTCCAGCAGAAGGTGGGTCCAGGTGAGTGTGAGCTGCCCACTGTGGGTGTTGCCATTGGACTCTGATCCTTCCCAAGAGCCATTCATGCTGTTAACGGAGAGCCATCTCTTCAGCCCCGGGAGTTCTACCTTTTAAATGAATAACTAAAAGCCAGAATTTTCTCTGATATGTTAGTGGTAAAGTTAATTAGTGACTGGGACTTACAGTGAGGTGTAATGAAGATGGCATTGACTTATGAATTAATAGACAGAGTTATGTGTCTGAACTTCAAAGCTTATTTGCTCTTTGACCTTGGGTCAGAGCCTCTCAGCCTCACACAGCCCCTGGAAAGTGTGGTCTATCACACCCTGGCTGTCTGCATCCTCTGTGTTAAGATGAGACAGTGTGTGTGAAAAATGGTCAGTCAGCTTGAAGATGCTGTCATTTGTGCTTAACAGTGCATACCACTCACCGTGCTAGGTGTTTGCATAATTCTGATAGTTTTAGGGTGTAAGCAACAGGAATACTGCAGCTTTGCAGATGTAAGGGGGACATAGGGAGGCAAGGCACACTGGTGAGTGGGAAGGACAGGATTTGAATTCAGGACTGTCTGACAGTAGAACCCAAGCTCCTAAATACAAAACTTTTATCATCCAGCTGAACAATAATTGCTATACAGTCTTCTGAGTGAACTGCAGAGGCATGAAAAGCATAATGCATTTACGTCTGGATTCTAAGTGGGAAGCTTAAATACAACAGACTTCTACAGAGTCCTAACCATCCAAATGTTTTCTTCTCCCAGAATTTAATTGTCCTGAACCCACTCACAGTGACAGAGGAAGACATAAGACCATCACTAGAGAAACGCCTAGAAGCCATCATCAGTGGGGCTGCACTGTTGGCTGACTCGTCCTGCACCAGAGACCTCCACCGGGAACGGATCATCGCTGAGTGCAATGCCATCCGCCAGGCTCTCCAGGACCTGCTGTCGGAGTACATGAGTAATGTAGGCGACCGGTTTCTTCCTCTACTTGCATCTTCCTGGAATGTGTTTGATTATTTGCTTGGAATGTTTCTACATAGGAAACACAGTCACCCAAAAAGGAGTAGGCTGTTTTATGGAAATTGACTTTGAGAGTGGGTTCTGTGGTTGCTATTATTTTTTTCCAAGATGAAGCACAATTTTAGGACTTTGGAGGGTCAAAATCAGAACCGGAGAAGTATTTAGACATAGTTAGTTGTTGTAGAAGTATCTATATGTCAGTTGGAGAGTCAAGGTTTGAGGAACAAAGCAAGTATTGCACATCAATTTAGGGGATCAAAGGAAGGTAGAGGGGTATGTTGGTTGGAGTAGAGCTGGAGACAAAGGGCCTTGAAAAGTTAGGGTTCTGATGGTGTAGGGTCTGTCAATGGTGTGGGGATCTGGAGCTGGGTTTGAGGGGTTAAAAAGCCCAGGAAGTATGGAGAGTACTTTGTCTTGCCCAAAATGTGACATAGTGCTATATGCTTGATGTTAAGAGACCCACTCTGAAAGTTTGGAAGTGCGGAAATTGTAAGTATTTGTTTCAAGGTCCATTTTCTTTGATTCCATGTCATACATATATCTGTTAATGGAGCGTCTGTCCCCTTTGTTCAGATCTCGGTGCCATTGCTAAGGCAGACAAGAAGACCTCAGGATAACTCAGCTTTGCCCTCATCCCTGTGTGTTTATGGATTTGCTCCTTTGGCTTTAATTCCTTATAGCAAACTGTCAACTGAAATAATTACATGGGAGACTCAAAAAAATGACATGCGTTTAAAAATAACTTCAATACAGTATATATTTATTATTATTCTATTTAATTTGTGGTTGATGATGTTATCCTTTTTTCTACTGTTCCTAAATTATAAATGAAACTGTCACAGATATGTCTGTATAGGAAAAGTTACTGTTTATTTAGAGTTTAGAACTATATTTCAAGTATCTACTGGGGATTATGGAATGTATCCCTCACAGATGAAGAGATGAAAACTTCTTAAATCACTGAACTACATAGTTATTTTAAGAATATTTTATCTACCCACTTATAAGTGGAATAATTCAAGATTGATACAGGTATGTTTGGACAGTAATTAATCACAGGGCATATGACTTTTTGGCTAAGAAATGGAAAGTTTAGGATTGCTTTAGATAGAAGTAAAATGTGCTAAAATAATGAGTTTTCAAGACCCCTGAACACATTTGATATATCTCCAAATTCTTAATATTTGATGATTTTACTACTGACCAAAAAGCTCTTTCCTGTCAAGAAATCAAGGCAGGGAAGAAGATTTTGTTAATAAGAAGCACATGTTAGTAATGTCATGTCCTGCTTGGATATCTGAAGGTAGAATTTTACCGTTTTTAGCATATGAGATTTTCTTATTAAAGATTGCTCAGGGCAGTTCATCAATCACAAGGAACCTAGAAACTGAAAAATATTAAGAATATTATTCTCATCTTTATAGAGAAAGTATAGCCAAGTTATAGATGCACTTATCTTATATATAAAATATGAAATACTAAGATGAATTCACTTTATCTAAAATAGAAGGTTGCACTTATAGATATACAGGTTTACAACTTCCACATTAACCTACATAGATCAGTAGAGATGGATTCATGATTTGTGTGGTCCAGTACAATATGAAAACGAGGCTGTAATTATTTAAAACAAGCAAAGAAACTTTTTTTTCATAGTCACTCTTAATCAATGAAATAAGTCCTTATTTTCTACTTAATTCTATGTTTCCTGGTAGGGCAGCCTACTTGTGCAGTGAGGACACATATCCTCAGAGGCATCTGTGGTCCAGGTTCACGACCATGAACTACCTTCATGGTGGCTAAGGTCACATTCAGAGGGACTGCAGCATCTGGTGGGTGGAGAGCCTGTGTTCTACAGTTCATCTCAGTACCTTTCCTGCTACTGTGACCGTGTGCTATCCCAAACATGGTTTTCCTTGTCCTACTTGGGCACACCACCCACAAGGTAAAATTGCTAAGAATTTGAAGCCTACTAGCAGAGTGTTAAATCCAAAGGATTCCATTCTAAAAACTTGTTTTATGCATATGAATGTCTTGCCTGTATGCATGTATTTACCACATGCATGCAGTTCTCATAGAGACCAAAAGAGGGCGTCAGATCCCCTGGAACTGGAGCTACAGCTGACTATGAACTGTCCATGTGGGTGCTGGGAACTATGATCAGGGTCTCTGTAGGAACATTAAGTACTCCTAACGGCTGAGCCATCTGTCCAGTTTCCTTTATCCGGTCTCATGGACAGGAAGCGTTTGTTTCTTGGATTGAGCTGAGGTCGAACCTTGCTCAGTTTGTGCAACATCTTCCAGAGAGCTCTGGGACTTTGAAGAATCTTTGTCTTCCTGGATGGGCCCGGTTTGCTTCTGAAGATCCATCAGTGCCTTTTGTAATTGAGCTATGCTGATGAAGACCTTGGTTTGGGACACACATAGAAAAGGTTCTTTGCTTTTACAGACTCATCAGACTCATACAGTGAGACAGGGCCCGGTCAGGTTGCCTAGCCTTATAGTTTAGACAGAAAGACAGTCACAAATTCTTAAGGTATGACAAATGCTCACAAAGTCTGTAGATCTCTTGAGCTAATGTGACATCAGGGCTCAGTTTTATATTTAGTGTCTGTTGAGTTTAGAGCCAGGTCATCAGTGGAACATGGCTATCTCAGATTCAGTCCATTGGAGCACATGGCTGTCCTGAATTGAAATAATCTTTTAAAAAACAGGATGTTTGTATTATATTTGTCATTGAATCTCTATATATGTTTTGTTATATTAGAAAGATGTTTGTGCTATCTATCTATCTATCTATCTATCTATCTATCTATCTATCTATCTAGATATCTATCTATAGTATGTGGGGGGAGAGAGAGAGAGAAAGAGAGAGGGAGGGAGAGAGGAGAGAAACAGAGAATAGACAGACTGTATCTGGTTTCTAGTGTAGCTGTAGCAAATCGCCACACACTTAATGTCTTATGTTGTTGTTGAGACAGAGAGTCTCATTATATAACCTTGACTGACCTGGAATTTGCTATGTAAACCAGGTTGGCCTTGAACTCACGGAGTTCTGCCTGCTTCTGCCTTCCAAGAGCTGTGATTAAAGGTGTGCGCCATCAAGACTGGAAGACTTGCTGTCTTAATTATTCAGATTCCTTAGCCACTTTACAGGTGAAAAGCCTGGCAAAAGTCTCCCTGGGCTGACGTCGTCATGTTGGAGGGGTGCATTATTTCCTGGAGTCCTGAGTCAGCATCCATTTTCCACCTGTTTCCATCTTCTGGATGATGTGTTCATTCCTTTACTTAGGGTCCTTGTTATACACCTTCGTGGCTAGTGATGCTACGTGGTGCTTCCAACTCTGCTTGTGACTTTGGACACACTTGGAAAGAAAACTGCCGTTTAGAGTTCATATGGTTAGGTGAGGTCCACCTAGACTGTAAGGTTAGTCATCCGTGTCTTAAGACCCTCAACCTCAATTCCATCTCTAATGGTAACTTAGAGCGGATGCTTTGCTACTTTGTAGGTTCTTTCTTCTACCCTCTGCATCCCTTCCTTTCTACTTTTTGACCCCCTAACACTAGATAGGAGAGAAAAGGGGACAGAGAAGAAAGGAAAGAGATCTCAAAAAAGCCAGAGTTGTAAAGGGGACGATGCTATTGTTAAATTACTTCCTGTTGATTTGGGGTGTTAGGTTCTTTAGGGAAAGTTTGATCTTTGCTATCAGGTGTTTTCTTCTTGTTGCTTCTTCTTCATGCACGACTACTTAACAAACTGCAATCACCAACAACTCACCAATAAGTCACCAATCACCCACCAGTAACCCACCAACAACACACCAATGACTCACCCCACCTCTCAGGGCCCTAGCACTTATATACCCTCTGAAAAGTTCTCAGAATTCTTAACATCACACAGTCACAGGAACTATCTGAAGCTGGTAAATCACAGCTCCTGTGGACAATCTGAAGCAGCCCTATATCTTATACCTGGGATTAAAATAAAAACCCAGTCTTGTGATAGTTCTGTGTTTTTTTAAAGAAACTAAAATTTCAAAATGGTTACTACCGATATGTAGATTATGAGAATTAGGAAGTCAACATTTCTGCAGAGTTCACTTCATCTGTCAATATTAGTTTTCTCTAGTCAGCTAAGCAATTCTTTTCTTTGTGACCCCACTATAGGAAATAGACTTCAAATTCTAAGGCCTATGTAGGCAAATCACACGTTTGTTTTGTTTATCCAAGGCCCCAGACAAAATTTCTGGCACCTGGAAAAAGCTGAGTTGTATTTTAAATGCAAGAATAAATGAAATGATTGTTTATTGTATATGCCACGTAACAGAGAAAGAATCTCTCTGACATGAAAATGAATTTCAGGCACCTACTTAAGTTTATGTGACTGAACGCCTGTGAGGAAAAGTCTCCTTTTGGAAATACAGGCTTCTTCAAAAAATCTATGTGAAGTTCCAGGAACATTTTTTTTTTTTATCACAGTCCTACCATTTGGATTTGCATCTGGCCATATTCCAACATAGGATTTTTATTCATTTGAAGACATATTCCAGAGAGCATAAAGAATCAGAGAAAACACAGCTTCTGTCTCTTAAAACTTAAGAATAGATATTTCCAAGATATGACTGCTGGCTTTCTTATAGTTCCATGATAGGCTAAGTCTGGTCCATCCTTTTGGTAAAGAACACACTTAAGGGATTTTTCAGACTTGAGGAAAACGATCCTCTAAGAAGAGAAAGGACTCTGGGAAATCAGTTATCTTCATATGGTGGTCCTTTCATAACTAATGAATATAAGTTTTGAAGGTGAGTAGCTATCATGTTTGAGTTTTAAGATATCAGCAGACATAAGAATTTGGGGGGGGAGGTATGTTCAAATCATATTGGTGTTGAATGTTGAATGTTGGATGTATCACTTCAGGGAATATAGGTGAACTGGTGAAGTCA